TGTTGCTGCAGAGGAGAAGGTAGCCGTGAGCTACAACAGATGGCTGAGGGGCTGGAGCCCTCCTGTCCCGCCGGGCTCTGCAGGGGCTCATCTTGTGGGTCTGGCCTCCCCAGCGGGCTCTTGGTGAAGCCGAGTTCTGCCACCTTAGGCCATGGCCAGCGTGGGAGAGTGCCGAGAGCCCGGCAGCCTGATGCTGCTGCTGGCTTGTCCCCACAGAGCCCGTTGCTGGTGCAAAGCACATGCTTATCTGTGTGCTGCACTCCCACGCATGGCTCCTGGCACACCAGCTCTCCCGCCTGAGAAGCTACTGGAAAGCTAGACTGTAGAAGGGATATCTGTATATGGAAACCAGTAGGTCTGCTCTACTTAAGTCCGTCATCCTCCCACTGCAGTGCCCAATTAGCAATAACAAATTCTAGTGACGGGCCCCACAAAGATCAAGACAAAACGCACTGAGATGGGAATTGTGATTTTAAACATCCTTGCTCCTCAGGACTTCATCTCGGCATGTTTCTTCCACAGTCTCTCTCTCTCAACTGGTAGGGTTTTAAAATAATGTCCTATTTGATGTCATGCTAAGTAAAGAAAAATTAAAATTTTAAATTATTAGCATGAATTTTACCATTTATCTTTATACTGTGCAATGCCAGTTTCAAATGCAAATGTAAGAGCAGTTAACTGCTGTGCAGAATCTCCAGAATTGCAGGCTTGGTGTTTCGTAGCTTGTGTGTGCATATGTAGTCAGTTCTTTATCAGAGCAGTGTAAATGCCGTACAAACCCAACTCCGGTGTTTTTATTTCACTTCTTTGTCTGTGTACTTTCTACCAACGCACTCTCTCTTTGGCTTACTGGGCGTAAGGAGGCCGGGAAAGAAAAAGAGCTGTGGGTCATCTTATCGTTCATTCTCCTCCCTGTCATCATTTGCAGCATAAGTGGTTGGCTACCACAGGGAAGCAACCTGAGTCAGAAAGGATATAAGGTTCTTCAGCTGATCATGTCTCTTAAAACACCCCTGCTGGGGCTGGCCCGGTGGCGCAGTGGTTAAGTTTGCACATTCTGCTTTGGTGGCCCGGGGTTCACTGGTTCGGATGCCAAGTGTGGACATGGCACCGCTTGGCAAGCCATGCTGTGGCAGGCGTCGCACGTGTAAGGTGGAGGAAGATGGGCACGGATGTTAGCTCAGGGCCAGTCTTCCTCAGCAAAAAGAGGAGGATTGGTGGCAGATGTTAACTCAGGGCTAATCTTCCTCAAAAACAAAACAAAACAAAACACACACCCCTGCCCTCTTTCTGTGTTCAAAACAATTTAGGTTCGAACGGAAGGGGTAGCCTCTGGGGGCTGTCAGCTGCCCACTTACTCAGTCCTGGACATCGCGTGCTTAACTTGTTTCCGCTCTGAGTCCCGCTGAGCCCCCAGGCGTCATGGGTCCACCGGAACTCCATGCTCACGGGGCATCCCGAATACTGTATGTGAATGGGGCAGCAAGAATGGTGAATGTGCATACTGCACACGTCTCCTCTGCTCTCAGCGTGCACCACTGTCCCGTCAGACTTCACTTATGAAACATAAGCTCAGAGATAAAATTATTAAGATTTTGAGATGGCAACAGTAGCAATTAAAACCAAGCTCTCTTGAGCTCAGGGGCCTGTGTGGCTCTCAGGTCACATGCCCATGAAGCTGGCCCTGCCCATGGCCTCTACTCCTGCCATACTGGCCCCTGCAGTCCCTTGGCCTCACCTTGTTCCTTCCTGCTGAACAGCCCTATGGTGTGCTGCCCCCTCTGCCTGAAACTCGGTTCCCTCCCTCGTGGCCTGGGCATGTGCCTTTTCTCTTCCTGTTAGCTCAGCTCAGCCGCCACATCCTTAGGTTGGCGTGCTCCACCACCCCCCCCCACCACCCCCTCACCACCCCCCCCCCGCCGCCCTGCTGACCAGGTCAGGACTCTCTCCTTCAATCACTGTCGCAGTCACATTCTGCATTTAGGTACATGATTACCCAACTCCTTATTTCCCTTCGCCACTGGGCAGCCAGCACCTTATACCCCAGGAGAGGTCTGATTCTGTTCATTATTGTTTCACCAGTGCTGCGCACCTAGTCCCTAATCAGTATTTATGAGATGAATGAATAGATGAATAAACCAATGAATGTTTTTGCAACCAGAACAAAAGTGTCAGATGACGAGGTGGGATGAATGAGGGGGGTGTGATTTCTAGATCTTGTTCAAAAGGGGTCAAATCCTATCCCAGTCTGAGCTGGTGGAGCTCAGTGAGCATCACATCGCCTGGTCCACTGGATTGTCCCTTCTACTAGGTCGTGAGTACTTGAGGGCAGGGGAGCCCACCACAGAAAGAAATGATCACTATGCGATGTGATGGGGTGTTGACTAACGCTACAGTGGCAATCATATTGCAATATACAAAGGTATAAATTTTTTTTTAAAAGATATCCAAGTCATTTTCTTTACATCTCTGGCCGCAGCACAGTTCCTGGCAGTTAACTGGCTCTCAAAAAATACTGTTCATATTGAATTGAATTGAGCTGAGCATATATTGCCCTGAGGTTTAGTTTATCTCACCCTCCCCGTGTGTCTCCTCTTCCCTCTCTTCCTTCTTTTCCTCCTTCCTCTCCTTTCTTCTTCTTAAGGATTTCTGAGTCTTGAGAACTACTTTAGTTGTGATCAAATGTTTCCAACAGAAAATTACCCTCATTTACTTTTGGTTTAACTGGACTCTTCGAAGAGAAATGGTCGACTGGTCTTATAATCATGGCAGTGGTTGGGCCTTCCACAGAATGCCCCAGAACCAGTGTGGGTGCTTTTGCTGGTAGTATTCCCATATTGGCATCAATCTTGGGATAGAATCCCAAGGCAGGCACTCTAGAAGTTCCTCCATTCAACTCCAGCCAATTCAGAGCAGAAATTAAGCTGGAGGCTGGGAGGAAACCCATCCTCTCGCCCTGACGGCTGCCGAGCCTCCTTGTGGGAAGGCGGTACAGAGACGGCATGGTGGTGGAATGGGAACCAGCCTTCTTGCTAGAGCCTGGTCCACAACCTGTCTGCCTTGTCCATTATCCCACAGCTACATTTGAGAAAGGGCCAGGAGGGGAGGTAGTGAAAGTTCAGTGTTCATAATGAAATTGAGGATCGATGAAATAATAAAAAACAAAACCCTAAAGGTAAGATCGGTATTGATCGACCATTTCAGAAAACATTGTTTGAGAGAGATCAGGGCATGCTTCCTATACGTAAAGTGGGGATTTCTATCCTGAGTAAGACTCGAATGGGAATACAGAATGTCACTAGACGCATCGCCAAGGTGTCCCCTTACAAGTTATGGGGCTGCTGGGAGATGGTGCAGTGGAGCAGAAAGGCGTGGACTTAGGAGTCAGCCATACCTGGGTTTTACATCCAACTTTAGCTCTGTGACCATGAGCAGGTAATAACCTCTCTGACCTTCTTTTTTTTAATTTGTATAAATTAGTATGAAACATCTGCTTTGCAGGTTTGTTATGAAGATCAAATGAGATCACCTGGGTGGAGGTACAAAGCTTGGGACCTGGCACAGAGCAGGCATGCGATCCTGTTATTCCTTCTTACGGTGTCAGGTCTTTGGGACAGTTGGTCACCCTGAGAGTGAGGGCCCCTCTTGAGCTGGGCACCCAAGACACCTCACCCTGGTCCCAGCAGTGCAGCTAGGGCGGTGTCAGACCAGCGTTGGGGCATCTCAGGGTAGCTGCCTTCCCCCCAACACCATCTCCTGGGCCATTTTACAGATGACACAGTTGAGACCCAGAGAGTTAGTATAATTTGACTAAGTTGGCAAACCCAGGCCTGTGAACCCAGGCCTCTGGCTCTAAGCCTGTGTTTCACTCCCCAGCAGTCTACAGCAAATGCCTTACTGCCGATGTCTCATGACACTCACATGCCCCTTTGCACTATGAAGGGCCTTTCTGGACATCTACACATCGTCTCCCCAGCAAGCCTGGAAGCTCCCTCAATACAGGAAGAGGACGTGTCTCAAAGTCTCAGTACTTCCCAAGGCACTTATTACAGGGCTAACCTACAGTCGGGGTTCAAGAAATAAATATCCATCAATTGAGAGAAAGAAGATATTTTCATGGCCTTATAATTTTAATGCAGAGAAACAGTTATAATACACATTAGCCCAGCTGAGGGGGAGAAACGCATTAATTTCACAACATGTTCAGCTCTTTAAGAAGTTCACTTTTCAGGCTCCACAGGGATTCTGGAATTCACATAGACTCACCCACTGTTTCAAGAGAAAATTACAACTCCCAGCGGTGGCCATCTCCCAACAGGGAAGCAGTGGGTGGAGAGACAAAAGGAGGGGCGGGGGAGGGGGCGTGGCAACAGCAACGTGGGCTGCTTAAACCAGGAGTAAAGGACAGGAGAACCGGAGGAGAGCCATGCAGCTAAGATTTCGGGAGCAAATAAATCACCTGGGCCCTGTTGAAATGCAGATCTGACTCAAGCCGTCTGGTGGGACCTGGGAGTCTGCATTTCTAACAAGCTCCCAGAGATGCTCATGCTGCCTGTTCATGGACCACCCTTTCAAGTAGTGAGGATGGAGTCCCAGGACAAAAGGTTGTGAAAGCCTTGGCTTTTTTCTCCTTTCCTCTGCAATCTGTCCTTTGACTGTGGGCAAATTCCTTAACCTCAGACTGGGCAGAGGGCAAGTGGGAACCTGCTAGGAAAAGTGGCAGATGGGGGTAATCACCAGCTCCCCAGCATGGGGACTCTCCCCTTTTTTCTGCCAGATGCCCTTGATGGGTGACATTTCCATGCATGGAACACCTGAATTTTACCATCCATAAATGAATGTATTGGTCTGCATCTCGGGAGGCCTCTTCTGGTTTGACAGCCCTCTGTGTGGAGGAAATGGCCTGGAGGTTTTGGGTTTGCAAATCTGGCCCAGCAGAAGCTCTGTCTTCAGGCTGGCAGTTCTCAAGATCCCCACTCATGGTCTTCCATCTTCTGCAGGGGAAATCTGTGCATTCAAGATCCACGGCCAGGAGCTGCCCTTTGAGGCCGTGGTGCTCAACAAGACATCAGGAGAGGGCCGGCTCCGGGCCAAGAGCCCCATCGACTGCGAGCTGCAGAAGGAGTACACGTTCATCATCCAGGCCTATGACTGCGGCGCGGGGCCCCGGGAGACGGCCTGGAAGAAGTCGCACAAGTGAGTGTCCTGGCAGAGCTCCCCGGCCCCTCCCGTCCCTGCCCACCATCTCCTTCACACGCTGCTCTTCAGATACGTGTTACCCATTGGTCACACCACTGTGCTCTAGGCTGCTCCGCTGCTTGCTGGTTCCCCAGGCCCCTGCAGACATCAGCACAGGCCACTTTCTGCACGTGGAATTCTCTATCCCTCTGCTTCACCTGAAGATACACCTGTTCCACCATCAGGACCGAGTTCAGGTGTCACTTCTGGGAACCCTTCCCTGAGCCAGCCCGTCCCTGCCGACCTGGTTAGGACCTTTCACTGGGTTTCTGCCACGGTCTTCTTTCTGTTGCAGCCCTTTTCATTTGGGGTTGTAACTCTCTCCCGGATGGAGTGGGACTCAAAGCCTAACCCAGGGAGAGTGGTGAAATTGCTCCTGAATGGAGGAGTGAGTGAAGTGAGGAAGGAATGGATGGGGAACGGGGAGATGATCAAAGGAAAGTTGTTGCTTACAGCTGGGTATCAAGGAAGGTCAAAGATGGGGAAGATTCTCTCTGGGTGGACTCATGTCTGAGGATCGGGGCAAGGACAGGTAGGAGGGTTTCCCACGGGAGGGAGGACAGAACGCTCAGACAACAGCTGCCCCTTCTGGCTTGTGCTTGCTCCACTCACTTGGCCTTGGGGTCTAGGCAGTGCCCGTGGGAGGTGTGGGAGGATGGCGGGACTCTTTCTTTACCGCCATCCCTTCCTTCCTGTGTGTGGTTCCAGGGCTGTGGTTCACATCCAGGTGAAGGACGTCAATGAGTTTGCTCCCACCTTCAAAGAGCCGGCCTACAAGGCCGTCGTGACGGAGGGCAAGATCTACGACAGTATCCTGCAGGTGGAGGCTGCCGACGAGGACTGTTCACCCCAGTACAGCCAGATCTGCAACTACGAGATCGTCACCGCTGATGTGCCTTTTGCCATTGACAGAAATGGTGAGTGTCCTGAGAAGACCCCAGTGGGGGGCGGGGAAATGGCTCCATCACCCCCACTCTGAAGGCCAAGTGGAGGCTCTGAATGTACTTGGCAAGCAAGGCCTCCCTTGCTACCTCTGATGCAGGCTCTGTAACCCAGAACTCAGTCCGCGCTAGACAGGTGGCCTGACACGATCGGCAGCCCTACTGGGCCTGGATCACCCCCAGGACACCTCAGAAACCTACTCAGGGAACATAGTCTTTAAAACTCGCAGCACCATACAACTGAATACCAAAGATCGGTTGGTTTTCTGGTGGAATCTTCCAGTTGTCATTCACATGTGAGCCAGGCCATCAACTTGGTCATATCTGAGTCCTTTTCCTAGATAACGAGTTATAACATTACTCCCACGTTATAACATTACTCCTCACCACAGCAATCTGCTTCCTGCTGCCAGACAAAGAGATGCTAGCAGAGAGGGTGGAGACTTTGAAACACCTTCTAAGCAGCAGATCCATTCAGGAATCTGCAAAGCTGTTGCTAGTGTCCTTTGAGAATTTCTACCCTAGTGAGAATGGAGCATGAAAGAACCCTCCTACCATACCCCAACCCCAAACTGACCTGAACACAGTCCTATAAAGCCATTTGGCTATTTCCTCAATTAATAAAAACTCACTGTAGTGTAAACACCACAGCCAGAGGCCCCCATCAACTCAGGCCACCGTGACTGTAATTTTTCAATACCTTGATTTTAATCAAATGATAATTATTTGCCAAGTATATCGTTTAATTATTAGCATGAGTGTGTGGGTATATGTATGTTATCCCTGCTTTGTTTTGAATAGGATTTAAATAGTGCACAAAGATGCAGCAGTTGCAAAACCTGGAGTTTGTCCACCCGGTCAACATTAATTGAGTGCCAGGTATGGTGCTGGGAAATGGGAATGAAGACAGAGTGGAACTCAAAACAGACAGGGGCCTGCTCACATGGAGCTTACCATCTAGTGAAAAAAAAATCAAAATAAAAAATAGAAAATCAGGTGGCATCAAAGGTGAGGTTGGGAGACGAAGCAGCCCTGCACCTGCATTAGGAAATAAATTAGCTCTGAGCATCCTGGTGGCCAAGGCCTAAAGGGAAATACTATCAGCCACCTGCTTGCAAGTCGTCAGGAAAAGCCCAGCGCTTCTTGTTGCGACCAGGGAGAAACTTAGCTATGACACAGGCTTCTGCATCCTGGAACTAAAACAGCTTCCATGGGAGAAGGAAGCCGAGGAGACACCCTCATTTCTCACCTCTAGTAGCTTATGAAGATGAAACCAATATTCATGAACTAATATTCATATTACTAAAAAATAGTAATAGGCAATTTCCTTATAAAATGCTAACACATCTGGAAATGACAGTTATGCACCTAGACATTGCTAGATGCTAATTGTGCAGAACACAGATCAGTGCACAAAAGAGTAAAGGAAAAAATATCAGACTTTAAAGTTTGGTTCAAGACTCAGAAGACGGTCATTTCAATTAGGAGAGCCCATCAGAGCTGCTTCCTGATAGGTTTTCCTACGGGCCCTGTGAAAAGACTGGCCTGCCCCCACCGCACAGACTCACATCTCACACATATCACACATACACTACTCCATATAATGTAAAACTGCTTTGTATTTTTCTGTTCTCCTGTGATCAGCTGTTTGGTCTAGTCCATGAAAGCTTTGGAACCTGGGGAGTGGCGAGTCCTTGGTGAAGGGCACGACTAGACAATGGTGGGGTCTTTGATGAGTGGTCGAGCTCCATTGGCCTCCTGCCTTAGCTCTGGAGAAGCACAGCCCAAGGAGAGATGAGATGCAAATTCTTTCAGTGGAGGGTAGACTGCCCCAGTCATGAAGATAATTACTCATCTTGATGAGCCATTTCGCTAACATATGCCAATTTATTTCCTTAGCTGTCTCATTAAAAGTGAGGAACAGTCCTTTGCCAGGGCTCTGCCTCCAATGTTGGTTTACAACATAAGATAAAGAGGCGAGTGGGCACTCCCAGGGAGTATGGGCCTCCGACAGTGAGGTTTACAAGAGCAGTTCTCCAAGTAATGAAGGCAGGACCCAGGGGCAGACACAGAAGAGGCTCCTGTTCTAATGAGCTTCCCAGTTGGCCCTTATCCATCACTTCCACCGGCGACCTTCCGGGCTTCTTGAAGAAGTTCTCGGCATGCACATCAGACAAAGTACTGCTGAGTTTGGGGCCCACTCATTGAGGCCCGATGGCTTCAGGTGGATGGCACCTGGTCCCTCCAACCTGCCAGACTCTTTGCCTGTGGGGGAAGGAAGGGGAGCAGGGCAGCAGGAGGATAGGAGACATTACATGGAGTCAGCCTGACCCGTCTTAACTCAAGACTCAACCTCTTCCAGCCGAACTCCTTGACTTTTCTCCCCTTGAATTCCTCCCCTGTGAAATCATGGCATAATAAGAAGGCCTCCTCATGGGGTTGGCAGAGGGCTTGGCAGCGTGTGGGGATAAGCTTCTCAGGGTACCTGGCACATGGTGAGTGCCACAGTTACTAGGTATTCACCTGGGTGATTGGGACATGAAGGTTCGTTACCCCCAATAGATTTCCAGACTGAAATATGAGCAGGAAACTCTGAGTTGGTGACATCAACTCCCTCTTGGGAAGTTCTGGATTCATTTCACATGGCTTCCAGGCCCCAATCTTCTGGCACTAGGCCAGACTTTCTGAGACAGATAGGGCCTGACTAATTTCCACTGAACAGGTGGAAAAACTGAGTCCTAAAGCATAAAGAGCTTGCCTAACAGCACCTGTCACCCTGCTGGCAGAGTTGAGACTGGAGCCTGCGTCCCCTGAGTGTTGGCCCCACAGCCTTTCCACCAGACGGCTCTTCCTCAGAGATATTTGACAGGAGCACATGGCAATGGGATTTAAGTTCAAAAACGCAAAGTGTGTCTTAATCGTATAACAATGACTCCAATGTGTGTGTGTGTGTCTAAGTTACTTAAGCCTTGCCCCAGATCCTCATCAGTAGATGGGAGTTACCTCTTGTGCCTGTGGAAGAGGGTGGATGTAATGAATCAAGGTGCTCACTTGTGCTGGCATGAACCAAGCTCTCCGCCATGTTAGAGAATGACCCAGGAGGAGCAGCGGTGGGCTCAGTGACGCCCAGTCCCCCCTTGGCCAGCTTTCCTCTCTTCAAGCCCTGTTTGGTCCACACACAGCCCCAGCTGGGCTCTCTGTCAGCAGGCTGCCTGCTGAGTCACGGAACTCTGATGCCTCTGAGCCCTTTGTCCGCGAGTTGGCTTGTTCTAAAGTCAGTGAAAACACTTCTTTTCCACCAGAATAGAAAGTAACGCATGCCTTTTGTGGGAAATTTGGAAACCATAGGCAAGTATGAAGAAGGGAATCAGTCACCCATAATCCCACCACTGATACCTCTACTGACATCCCACCAGCCGTTCTTCTATGAAGATTTTAAACAAAAGAAAGGCCACACTTTCCCTACTTTTCCTTGTCCTCACCTTTTTCACCTAACATTTGACAATGTGGATTTTTTCCATCCTTAAAAACTCTTCATAACTATCACTCTTAGTGCTGAACAGCATTCCATCTTATGCAGACTTAGCTCTTCCCTTACCATCGGACTTTCAGTTGCTTTACTATTTTCCAACGTAATAAATAATGCTTAGACGAACATATTTGCACCTGTATCTGCAATTTGTATCATTTTCCTGGAATCGATGCTTAGATGTGGAATTGCACGCCCAAAACATATGAACACTTGCAAAGTGACTGGCCTGAATAGCATCCAAAAGGGTTGTTCGGGGTCAAATTCCACTGCAAGGAGGTGCAGGTCGGCATGCCTGCCTCAGCGCACTGCCCACCCCACCTGAGTTTTAGAACAATGCCTTCACTAAAATGCAAGTAGGTACTGAGTGTCTTTTTGAGGATTAGCTTCCCAGGTTCATGTGGACCCGAGAACTAGGCCCAAGGACCACTACTCACCTGGGTTGACTGTGGACTCAGGTCTCCTGAGAAGGCACTACTAGGAGAAATAATTCAAATGTGGGGGCAAAAAATACAATTGGAACAGTAGCAAGATGGATGGCTTTTTCTGAGCTTTCAAAAAAATTGTAAACGAATGTCTTATCCAAATATGACCCTCCTCTACACCACAATTGGTTGCAATACTGTACCCTCATTTTTGACCTAATCCTTTAAATTCTGCCTCTGAAACCCGTTCTCACATGCAAGAAGTCAGAGGTGGTGGAGAAAGTAAATTAGTTTCTCAGACAGTTTCATTAAGACTCGGGACGGAAGTGGAGCTGCAGCAAATTGAGCCAAGGATTGCTGGCTTGTGTGTTTATTTTTCTAGCACAATCAATAGTGTTCGGTCTGCTTAATGTCACACGGATTGTAAAGCCTGAGCTTTCTTCTTCTCAGAGGCGTATCTTTTGAGAGCCATTTACCTTTAAAGAAAGAGAAAGTTAAAACTTTTTGTTCAGAATTCAATTTGATGTTGCTGAAACATGCTTCTCGTGGTTGTATCGATGTGCTTCCACCTGACGGAATTTCTCCCCCGAGGATGACTATCACCAAAAACTAGTGTGTTAACAGAACCCTCAGGGAGTGTTACCAACGCAGTACTGAGCCGTCGCAGACCTGTGCGGGCCCCGAGCTGAGAGCAAAACAAATATTGGGGGAAAAATGAAAGGGATTCTGGACACCAGCCACAAGGCCAAAAATACATCAAACCCTTTTATACTCAGAGATTTTTGACTGGCTTTGTTGAACTAAATTTTACTTCAAATCAGTGGCTGCCATTGCATTTTAGGAATAATCCAGAGCAGATAGCGGAACAAATGATTCTAATTCTTGGTCCAATGTCTTGGGCGACTTCGTCCCCCCCACACTCACGTATACTTACAATTGTAGCACCTGCTCCTGGGCTGGTACTAAGTCTGTTTTACTAAGATTGGGTGATTGGAGGGTCAACTTTTCCAATCTTTAAAACATCATGTGACTTTTCTAATTTTGCAGACTTTCTTGCCTTGGTCTCTGCTGTCTCAATTCCACATGAACATCAGTTGGAATGGAAGAAAGCTCTTTAGGGAGTTTCCTTCAGTTTTGATGAAATATAAAAATATCCCTGAGTCAGCCATTCTGTGTTTGTTTATTTGCTCATGGCTTTGTTTGTTTTTTAATTTCCATTTTCTTAATTTCATTTCTGGTAAAGGATGATGCTAACATTTGAGTCCTAATTTGCTGTCAGCTCCACCATCAGAAAAAAAGGAAGAATGAAATTATTCTCAACAAAGGAAGACTTTAATCTCTTGGAATCGAAGACTAAAAAGTATTAAATGCACCTTGGGCCTTTGTTATTTCCTTGGAAACAAAACTGTATTTCAGCAAAAACAGTCAATTAAAATTTTTCTCATTAATTATCAAATAATTATTTCTGAATCATAATATCAAACCCACAGGAACGAAAACACACAAATGGCTCAGAAAAATTGTTTGCTCTCTCTCGGAGAAGAAAAATATCTTTGCCACCTGGGCAGAGAATTCGCTATTCTGTGTAGCTTTCAGAAGAGAAAGTCCATGTTTTCTTATTGATTTTACTTCCTATTTGGTAGCTAAATAATGTGAGGAGAGGCAGTGAACATTCCTGGCAATGAGCCCAGATGTTAAAAAACGTGTGTCAGGACATTTCTGAATTCCGTCTTTTCCCAGAGACTTCATGGCAGATGCGCTCTCGGTACCCTACAGGAGGGACACGGCCACATGGGCGTCCTTTAGGAGTTTTCTGACAGCCCATTACTTATAAACACAGCCAGTTGGATTCCAGCTGTGTGCTTGGAATTCCCTAGAAGTCCCATCCCACAGCTGGGGGGCCTCCTGGGAATCTGCCACCAAGGCATAAGCAGGCCACATGTGGAAGCCATGCCCTATTTGCCCTTGTTTTCGCAAACAGGTAGGAAAAGCGGTAATTTCATTCTGGTGAAGGTTGGAGGAGTGGAGAAGGGATTTTGAAGAACGGCGGTCTGTTTCACTTGATCTGAAACGATTTTGAATCTCTGTGTCCTCAGGCAACATCAGGAACACTGAGAAGCTGAGCTATGACAAGCAGCACCAGTATGAGATCCTGGTGACCGCCTACGACTGCGGACAGAAGCCGGCTGCTCAGGACACCCTGGTGCAGGTGGACGTGAAGCCAGTTTGCAAGCCTGGCTGGCAAGGTGGGCCTGCTCGTGTCAGTGCTGCTGAGTGAAGGCAGGCTGGCCTGGTGTATAGAAGGTGCTGGACCTGTCCTCAAATCATCACAACACACAACTAGAGGAGTGCTTAAAATGTGGTCGCTCTGCCGCGAGAAATAGAGCAGCTTGTTTATTCTCACAACTCCTCAGTGACCTATTATCCCCATTTTACAGCCAAGAATGTCCAAGGCACCTTGTCTAACACCATGTGCCCAGTTTGTCCAGTGCACCCTTTCTCAAATCTCATGGCATCTTGAATCAATAGTAATTATCCCGCAGTGCTCAGGAGAAAGTGCCGGCGAGCCTATTCACTTTATCTAAGGGTGCTGGGTCTAGCAGCTGCGTTTCAAACTGTGATCATCACTCAGCACCTGGAGAAGGTTGCCGTGTTCCGTGGGCTGGCACAGAGGGTGTGCAGGCAGAGGCTGGAGATCCAGAATCCAACCTGTGGAGTAGGGGCTTTCTAAACTGTTGGCTCTGGGAATGGAGAAGCGGTGGACTTAGATGGAGGTGGATCTTGGTGCCAGTTTAGATCTTTTAGGATGCAAAGACAGAGCAGAGGGTCAGGTTACCCTTAGATGACGAGGTTTATCACTGAGCCTAGGGGAAATAAGGAGGGTAAGGCCAGCTGTAGAGGGCATCTCACAGGGAATTGGATGGTTCACGAAATAACAGTAGCTCTAGGGGTAACATCAGTAGTTCCGATGGCCGAGCAGGGATGCTGGTGTCATCTCTGTGCTCAGCTGCTCCTGTTTCTGCTTCCTGTGTTGATGCTGCTGCAGGCTGCTGATTCCTCATGACTCATGGTGCTTCATGGAGTCCTCCATCCTCCATTTTGTGGCTTCTGTCTACCACCTTCTCTTCGGGTGTCCTTAAGCTTCAGGACCCCTGTTATATTCTACCTCTTTCTCTGTATCTTTCATTCTTTTTTTTTTCTTTTTCTTATTATTCCCAAAGCCCCCAAGTACACAGTTGTGTATTCTAGTTGCAGATCCTTCTAGTTCTGCTATGTGGGACACCGCCTCAGCATGGCCTGATGAGGCGTACCATGTGTGCGCCCAGGATCTGAACCTGCGAAACTGTGGGCCGCCAAAGTGGAGCGCACAAACTCAACCACTCAGCCACAGGGCCGGCCCCTGTATCTTTCATTCTTAAATTCCCCTAGAGAGTGCGCGATTAGCTGTGTTAGTCATTCATATCCCTATGGAGCAGACTGATGCCAGGCCACTGGTCAGACTTTGAATGGCTGCCTTTTAGTCAGGCATTCATTCCTAATACAATTCATTTGGGTCATATCGACAAGATATCATGGTACAAAACATGGACACCTGAAGACCTACGTGGCGTCACTCCCCTGCACAACTCTATCTCCCTTAATCCTTCAACCAGAAAGGTGGGAGGGGTCAATTAAGCCCACCTCTGGAGAGAGCCAGAGTCGTTTGCCTGTGAACCAAGTAGAGAAGATGAAATGCTCAGTAGAGGAGCCCCAGGTAAGACACATGGGATATAAAGAACAAAGTCGAGCCATCTTTGTCAAGCAAGAGACACAGAAAGAGGAACAAGCCATCAAGGGAAACTCAGGAAGCCTGAGCTCTGGTTGAGTATAATTCACTAGACCCTAGGAGCCTGCAGCCAGGATTCCGTCTCTCTCATCCACCACTGGATCGCTCAGGCTTAGCGTGTGTCTGGTCCCAGTGATAGGTGTTCAAGAAATAGCCATTGAGTAAATGAATGAGTGAATACATAGATGAATGAATGAAAAGCTATTTGAGCAAAGAAGAACTCTCCTTGTTTTATTTTAACTTATAAGGGCTGACTCCAGTGAAAGTCTAGCTTTTGAAAAGGAAACCTGGAAAGAGTATAAAAGGTTCCTAAGCATGGAACATGCTCACGATGGGATTTTAAGTGGGGAAAGCAAAGCACAGAGTCAGATCTGGAGAATGATCCCAATGTCTCTTGTCTTTGATAAATGAAACACGTATAGATTTGGGATTACATTTTTGTACCTATATTTAAATGCAATTTCCTAACAGAGTTTGTTCGTGTTTCAGTGCTAAATGTATGCAAAGAAAAGCACTTGATAATGTTTGGTTCTGTGTGTGAAGAATATGTGGGACACCTGTTCTCTGGTGCGCGATGCTGTTGGCAGCTCTAGGCAGTGTGTCCCTGGAGGCAAGGATCGTGCCTGTGCGTTGTTGTGTCTCCAGCGCCCAGCACAGGGCCAGCCCCAAAGCAGGCGATTGGCAAGTGCTGAATGGATGAATGAATGGTGAAAAACGTACCTTTCTGTGAAACAAAGACAAGAGGGAGGCAGCAACTCCCTGCATCAGTTCACCATGTCAGGCAAAGCAGTTTAAGCATGTGTACCATCAGAATCTACTGTATGGTGGATCCCCTGCATAAGTTACCCAGCCTTCATGGCAGAAGTGGACACTGGATTCTGCACCATGCCCCTCCTCCTCCCTCCAGCTTCCCCCACCCCGCACCCCCACCCCCGTCCCAGAGCCAGCCATTAAATCTCTCTCTCCAGCCACCATCCTAGCAGGCTTTCAGATCATAGACAGATCCTCCAGGTTCTCTGATATGTGTGGCCTTCCAGACCTGGAGAGGAATCTTCCCTCCTCCCAGGGTACTGGTCCTCTTTGACCCTTCACTCGTTCCTTCACATGAGCAACCCTCATCTCTGACCATCCCGTCTTGGGATCTGTTCTCTCGGCTACCCCTGACCAGGGCTGCAGGGCTGCAGGTACCTTTCTCCAAGGAAGAGCATACCACCACTGGTCCCCGGGCTGTGTCCCTTATCCAGCCCCCTCTCCTAGCTGTATGGAGCAATCTGATTTATTGGGTTTTACTGGTTTTCTTTGCTAGCTGCAGATGAGGCAGGCTGCTCTTTACTGTGAGAGGTCATCAGGTCCCTAGGGAAAAGAGTTGGCTCTTCTTGAAGTGGGTGTGGGGTGAAGCCTGCACTGTGTGGCAGAGGAGGACAGAGAGGGGAGGCCATTCAGGGCAGCAGTGAAGAACATGAGGAAGCCAGTCTGGCTTGAGTAGGGGGTTGGGACTGGAGAGAAGGGGGAAGCAAGATTGGAGAGGTCAGGGGCAGGGTAGGGTGGGTGGTCAAGATTTTGAATGCCAGGGTGAGGAGCCACAATGATCCTCCAGCCCCCCAGACCCAGCTGTGAGTGAGGGGTCTGCAGGCGTGTGCCAGGGCATAATTGCCCAGGAGAACAGAGGCTCCTCCCCCCGCTGACTTATCACAAGCAACAAGAGTCACCAAACACAGTTTGGCAATTTAAATTCTTGTCCCTGTTCTAAGTCATTTCCCTCCAGGCAGGAGGGCCTTGCAGCACAGTGAAAGCAATCCATCATGGCCAGGAGCCCCGCGTCTCCCCTGAGGCACTCCCTGTCAGAACCCTCACCCACACTTGCCACAGTCAGCTTCCCCCAGCAAGCTATCCTGGAGGAGCAAGGGACCCTGCCCACTGCTGGAGCCTTCCCTTCCTTCCTAGGGCCCATGAGGGATTGCTCCCAGACTCCAGTGATGCCCCACGGCAGCGGCCCCCGTTTCCATCACAATAACCCCTTCCAGGAATGTAGGACCAAGGCTTTCCCAACATGCTGCTGGCCTTACCTAGCTGTGTGTGAAGGACATCCCAGACCCTGGCTGTCCTGTCACCTGCCTTTCAGATCTTGGCCAAGGAATCATCTGCTTGGGCTATGGTTTTCCATTTGGGGGTCTTTTTTCTTTATGTTGGTCTTGCCTTCCCAGAAACAATATGGGATCCCTGGGGGCAGAACCATACTTCTCATAGCCCCAGGCACTCACTGAACTTTCCGTCCATTGCCTCAGCATAAACTAAAAGCCTGTTTACCATCATCACTCACCAGTGGGCAGCAGGGCTTACGAAGGCTCAGTCAGCAGCAAGGGAGGAAGGCAGGCTTTGCATCCAGACACCGACTCCAGGGCGCCAGGCACGTGTGTCTTGCTCTTGCGTGAGCTTTGTCGTCTCTGCTGTCTTCTGAGATTGTAATTCTGAAGAGGTGGCGGGGTCAGCTTACTCTGCAGGGATCTGTGCAGCTTTGCCTAAGGGAACGTCACCCCCATTCTCAGCTGCCCAGGAAGAAGATGGTCCTCAAAGCATCAGCTAGACCTGTGTGAGCGGAAGGGAGAACTAAATTGCTATGTTTTGTCCTGAGCTTTGAGAACTCGTGGTCTCCCCATAGCAGCTCTTATTCACAGAGATGGCAGATTCTATTAGGAACCAGGAAACAGGTGCACCAGCAGCGGACCACACACTAAGGACAGGCTTGTGCCTGCCTCTGCTGCCAGTCTCCTGCATCTGCCATATTCTTGGTGTCTGTCTCCCTCTTCCAACTGGTTATACATACCCAAGCCTGGGCCTGTGTGTGCACCGACAACCATACTTCGGGAAAGTTCTGCATCTGTTCATGGATCAGAACACTACAGAGGATGTAGCGCCCCCAGAAACTATGGCAGCAATAACAGCAGTGCACCCAGTCCACGTGCAGGGGCCACAGACTGTGTCCTCAAGGATTGTTTATAATTCAGTTGCTGGTTTGGGGTTTTTGTTGGTTGGTTGGTTATGTTATGTTATGTTGTGTTGTGTTATGTTGTGAAACACACGGCTTCTTCACACCTTCCTTTATTATTCTTTATAACCCGTGGCTCATCTCTTTCTATGTTTCAAGCTGGAAACATTGTCTTCACAACACTTAGTATCTTTTGCCTTTTGCTGTTGCAAATCAGATCTTGTATTTAGCACCTGCCCCTGCCAGTCGGGACCCAAAGTTCACTATTTCGCTCTCTCTTTATGCAAAACAACTCCCCTTTGAAGAGAGCCACTGGAGACTTTCTGGCGGCCCCACGCCATTTCTTTCCCAGACCTGTTGCTGACTGACATCCAGCCATTCTGGATCCGAGGCTCCCATATCAAGAATTAGCTCTCCAGACTCTAGCTCCATGG